CCCCCAAAAAAAAACCCAATGCCCCCCCCCCCCCCCCGGGACTGTTAACCAGCTACTGCATTCATAACATCCCTGAATATCATCTTGAAAATATCCCTTCGTTAAAAAGACTACACAGTAAAGTCTGAAACAAACTAAAACGATAGATTGATAGAAACAAAGCAAAAATCTGATAAACAACGAAAATTATTTAACCGAACACACTCTTTGTTCACATTGAGTATTCGTTAATATCATCTTGAAAATATCCCTTCGTTAAAAAGACTACACAGTAAAGTCTGAAACAAACTAAAACGATAGATTGATAAAAACAAAGCAAAAATCTGATAAACAACGAAAATTATTTAACCGAACACACTCTTTGTTCACATTGAGTATTCGTTAATTTTACCCCATTTTCACTTTACATCAAACGAGTCCATAATTTGTTAAGATGGGCCCACGAAAAAGAAGAACCAAAATAAATAAGTAAATAAATGAATTAATTAATTATAAATTAATAAAAATATAAGGAGGGGAGGGAGGGGATGCGCTTACTCAGGCATAATCGGGAATGGAGGGTAGTGTGGGGACGTTTCCTACTCTTTCACTAGCGGTAAGTTTTCTTCTTAGCCTTTATAAGTTTCAAAATTTCGTTTAGTTTAGTTCAGTTTAGTTCATTTATCTGCCAGGAAAAATTAAGACATTCAATGCATTGCATGCATAAAAAAAATTATAGTTAAAGGCCTAAGGTGATGTAAATTACATTAGTTAAAGTATTATAAGTGTTTTTCTGGTGGGGAAGCTCAAATTTAAATCTAAGAGGCTTATTACCATAAGCTCCCTCTCTTGATTAAGACTATATATAATAAACGACAGATGAAATTATGTTGAAATATAAATATATAACTTAGAACAAAAAGCAAAGCAAAACAAACTAAAAGGACAAAAAGCAGCAAAAGCAACAAACAACAAACAAAACAAATAAAATCTACATGCGGAGAATCAGCTAACGAGAAATGAAAATTTTAAAAGAGAGGTAGACGTAGCACTGTGTATATTGCGATCTAGTGTATTGAAAAAATTTGGAATCCTGAAATCTTACACCAAAATACTTACAGCTGACCTTCATCATTTTATTACTGGGAACGGTTTGGAAACTAAAATTTCGAGAACTTTTTTGGGCTTTTATCATTTAGAGCATGAATTATGCGTCATTTCAGGCCAATTTCATGCCCGGCATGCTGGGCATGCCAAACCCAATGCAACTGGTTTCACGATCGTCATGCACGGCATGCCTTCACGATGGGCATGCCCGGCATGGTCAACCCAATCGACTGGCTTCACGATCCACATGCCGGGCATGCCAAACCCAATGCATCTGGCTTCACAATCAGCATGCCGGGCATGCCAAACCCAATGCAACTGACTTCACGATCCGCATGCCGGGCATGCCAAACCGAATGCAACTGGCTTCCCGATCGGCATGCCTGGCATGCCAAACCGAATGCAACTGGCTTCACGATTGGCATGCTCGGCATGCCAAACCCAATGCAACTGGCTTCACAATCGGCATGCCCGGCATGCCAAACCCAATGCAACTGGCTTTGGGATCGGCATGCCCGGCATGCCAAACCCAATGCAACTGGCTTCACGATCCGCATGCCGGGTATGCCAAACCCAATGCAACTGGCTTCACAATCGGCATGCCCGGCATGCCAAACCCAATGCAACTGGCTTCGGGATCGGCATGCCCGGCATGCCAAACCCAATGCAACTGGCTTCACGATCCGCATGCCGGGTATGCCAAACCCAATGCAACTGGCTTCACAATCGGCATGCCCGGCATGCCAAACCCAATGCAACTGGCTTCGGGATCGGCATGCCCGGCATGCCAAACCCAATGCAACTGGCTTCACGATCCGCATGCCGGGTATGCCAAACCCAATGCAACTGGCTTCACGATCTGCATGCCGGGCATGCCAAACCCAATGCATCTGGCTTCACGATCCGCATGCCGGGCATGCCAAACCCAATGCATCTGGCTTCACGATTGGCATGCCCGGTATGCCAAACCCAATGCAACTGGCTTCACGATCAGCACGCCCGGTATGCCAAACCTAATGCAACTGGCTTCACGATCGGCATGCCCGGCATGCCAAACTAAATGGAACTGGCTTCACGATCGGCTTGCCCAGCATGCCAAACCCAATGCAACTGGCTTCACGATCGGCATGCCCGGCATGCCAAACCGGACAAGCAGACCGGCGTGTTACCAGTAACAATCACAGAAACAATTGCGGGAAACATTTCGGTTCCAGTCCTCTTTTCGTTACTAAAGTGGCGAATGGTAAAGTGTATTTGCCCGAAATTTCGCTTTTCAACACAAACCTTCCTGGAGCGGTCAATTATCAAAAAGGCGAGGGTAGATTTTATCCGTCATTTGCTCCCCTAAAATTTTCATATTTACGCTCAACCCTTGCATAATCCCCGCATTTGGAACAAGAAAAGTTAATAAGCGCCGCCCCGAATAAGAGCCGTGGCAACAATATAATGAAATCCAAAGACGTCAATTCTGTTAGTCTTATACGGAAATCCAGACAAACCCCGTTAATAGGGCCCTTCAGGGGGCCAGACAAAGTGTCCTTATTAAGTGGGTTAAATTAAGAGAAAATCTAAGGGCTTTCTTTCCCCAGGGACACAGCAAACTGTCCGTAATAATGAGGTGTCCATATTAAGCGGGTGTCCATATTAAGCAGTTGTCTGCAATAATGAGGTGTCCATATTAAGCGGGTGTCCGTAAAGCGGGGTTTGACCGTAATAATACCATAGATAATACCACTTCCTGTTTTGCGTCCAGCTTTCAGAGAAATAAAGGTTGCCCTCAAATAAGAGCCGCATTTTACCGTAGAAAAATTTTATAAGCGCCGCGGCGTTTTTCGAGTAAAAACGGTAGGCATTATTTTCAATTTCTCTTGGGAAGAGTGTAATACCCACGAGCGATTAAAAACAAAGGTTATGCAAAATTTTGGACGGCAAACAAGGTGTACTGTAGAAGAAGTGCAAATGGTGAATACGGGTTCCTGGATCCAGCATTCCCGCTCCTTTTACAAGAAAATCTGGTGTCCCGCCCTTTTTTCACCACTTCCTCAAATCCCGTTTTCTATTTAAAAGACTAATTAATGCAAAGGCTCATCAAATTTAAGATGTAGATCGGCCTTGTCGGTTGATTA